CCTCCTATCCCATCTCACCCCTCTAGGTTGTCACAGAGCCCTGGTTTGAGTTTCCTGATTCATACAGAAAATTCCCACTGGCTATTTTACACACAGTGTGTATATGTTTCCATGCTACTCTTTCCATTCATCCCACCCTCTCCTCCCCTTCTTTACATCCGTAAGTTTGTTCTCTATGTCTGTCTCCATTGCTGCCCTGCAAATAGGTTCATCAGTACCATCTTTCTAGATTCCATATATATGGGTTAATATTCAATAATTGTTTTTCTTTTTCTGACTTACCTCTGTATAATAGGCTCTAGCTTCATCCACATCATTAGTGCTGACTCAAATGAATTCCTTTTATGGCTGAGTAATATTCCATTGTATATATGTACCACAGCTTCTTTATTCATTCGTCTGTTGATGGACATCTAGGTAGCTACTTAGTGCTGCAAGGAACATTGGGTGCATGTGTCTTTTTTCAATTATGATTTTCTCAGGGTATATGCCCAATAGTGAAATCATTGGGTCATATGATAGTTTTTTTCCTACATTTTTACAGAGTCTCCATACTGTCTTCCATAGTGGTCATATCAATTTTCATTCCCACTACTAGTGTGAGATGGTTCCCTTTTCTCCACACTCTCTCTAGCATTTATTATTTGTAGAATTCCCTCCACCCCAAGTTTTGAAAACTATGTCTGTGGGTCAAACTGACTTTTTAAGATAAATGCACATCTTCATGTGTGAAAGTGCTCCTACCTAAGTGTGGGAGAAGACTTGATGATGGCTAGAGACTAAAAAATACTCAGACAATGTGGAGATATATATATATATATATGTACATATATATATATATATATATATCTCTTATATATATGTAAAGAGAGAATTAAATTTTTCATTCGCCTTCCAGAAAGCATTCATTTTGGTAATAGTGAGTGTGACTCTCCAACATTATAAAGTTTACTTATATACTTCAAAATTAATATTTTGTTTTGTTTCTGGCCATGCCACTCAGCGTAAATCAACCAATCCTGACTCCCCAATTATGGATTGAATTTGTGCCCTCTGCAGTGGAAGCACAGAATTCTAACCACTAGACCACCAAGGAAGTCCCCAGATTAATATATTTATGTGTGAAATTTATTTATATCTTAGGTAAAATATAACTTTCCATTAAAAATTAAAACCTCAATTATACTTTACATAGGACTTCCCTCATAGCTCAGTTGGTAAAGAGTTCACCTGCAATGCAGGAGACCTGGGTTCAGTCCCTGGGTTGGGAAGATCTCTTGGAGAAGGGAAAGACTACCCACTCCAGTATTCTGGCCTGAAGAATTTGGTCTGGGTCACAAAAATTAAATCCTTGGTTATACTTTACATAAAGACTTTTCTTAGGAAAGCTTCTTGTCTCTTTATCAACTTCTTTGGAGTCTTGATCGGGGAATTTGGAAAAGGAAAGACTAGACAGTGCTCTGAATATATAACAGGAGCAGCCTGCTTCGCCACTGGCTCCAGCTCTTAATTTCTAACTTGAAATGAAATCTGACATTCTAAAATCAATAAGCAGAGAATGGCACACGAACAGAACACCTATGAGAAGACAGAAGGTGTTTGAAAATATATTCAGTATTTATCAGCAATGTATGTGAGGTATTCTGAAAAATTCATTTTACTTTAGCAAGTCCAGTAATATTCAAGGAATGTTTTTGGTGCTGGAGACTTGACCAGGTTGGAGACTTGACCAGATTAGGTCGCTCACAGTCACCAGTCCCGGTATCCTATGGACGTCATCCTCTTTTGCTCTCCCCGTCTCCCCTCCAGCTGTTAACTGCCCTTTGGCCTTCTCTCTTAGGCTATCTCTACTCAAAATCTGGGGGTCTTTGAATTGAGATCCTTACAGTCTTTAGTTTAAACAGCATAAACTAATTTTTAGTCCCTTAAGACAAGTCCTCGGAAGCCTTTGATGATGAGGTTGATTACAATCACATTTGGATATGAGGGTTTCATGAGAGGGTAGGGGAAGCTATAAGCCTGAAACTGAAAAAATTGCCGAGTTTGAACAGTACACAATGGAGAATTTCCCAGGTGGAGGTGGGAGCAGGATTATGTGAGTGCAGGCGTCCCTTATGAAAAGTATCCATTAGGAAGAAGGGAAGAGTTGGTGCAGATATTTGCAGTAGGAATGGAGAAAATCAGGTAACTTAGAAGTTTGAAAATGAGCAGTGGTCACTGATTAAGTCATTTTCATCATGTGGAATAGAATGAGTGAACAAAAGAGCTATTCAATAGGCCATATTTAAATCCAGATATATAAAACAATAATACAAACATTTATCTGTACTGTCAATGTTTGAGTCACATCTGACCTGCCATTCTGAGAGGATTAAAGGAAGTTCTCAGATCCTGAGTCACTGACTGCTTTGTTTTATTCACAATTTAAAAAAAAGAAAAAGTCATTCCAGGTACAATTTTCTTTCCCTCTTTTGAAAGGTGGTGTATCAGTTAACTAGGTCTGCCTTAACAAAGCACCACAAAATGCATGGCTTAAAATAACAGAAAATTATTGTCTTATCTTTCTGGAATCTGGAAATCTGAAATTAATATGTTTGACGGGCCATGATCCCTCTGAAATCTGTTGGAAAATCCTTCATCACCTCTTCCTCAGTTATGATGGTTTGCCAGAAGTCTCTTTTGCCCCTTGCCTGGCAGCTGAATAGCCTCAGTCTCTGCCATTGTCATATGGCATTCTCTCTGTGTGGCGCTATCTTCAAAAGGCCATTGTCTTACAAGGACCAGCTGCAGAGGAATAGAGGCTCATCCTGGTTCAGTATTGTCTCAGCTTAATGTAAATTATTTCTTCTGTAATAACCCTATTTTAAAATGCAGTGACATTTTAAGGTATTAGGGGTCAGAGCTTGAGTAAGTCTTTTTTGAGAGGTATTGGGGGGCGGGGAAACATAATTCAACCCATAACAGATAGTAAAACGTAGCTATGTAAAAAAGTTCTCAGTAGTAGGTTAATATATGAAACAACCTTTGGGGAAATAGAATAATGTACACAATGAGAAGAAATAATGAGAGTAATAGAAATGTAAAAACTGTATGATAGATGTGGCGATAAGGCACAGTAGAACCGGAAGATAAAGTGACAAATGGAATATCCGTGAAGCAAATAGCCAGGCAGTAAGTAATATGACTTTACAGTGAAACATGTACTGCATCATGCTAATAAATTTTTCCTTGATAGTTTCAAAATGTGAAGGCTATGTGCTTTGTCCACATGTTTGGAAATGCATTTTCTTTACTAGGAAAAAAAAACCCACTAACCCTGTAGCCAATATGAATATTGTAAGTTATTATTTTTTTTTATGTTTTGCACTTTATTTATTTTTTTCCATTTATTTTTATTAGTTGGAGGCTAATTACTTTACATCATTACAGTAGTTTTTGTCATACATTGAAATGAATTAGCCATGGATTTACATGTATTCCCCATCCCGGTCCCCCCTCCCACCTCCCTCTCCACCGGATCCCTCTGGGTCTTCCCAGTGTAAGTTATTTTTATCATTAATTAAAAAAAAATCTTTGGCACTATTATTTTCAATTGTTCTTTTAAATTTTCTTTTATTATAAAATCTGAAAGCTCTCCTTACATAGTATATGTTGTATCAACCCTTAAGTTTGACTTTAAGGGTCATAAAAATGGCCAAGTGAACTTGTGAAGCTAAATGTCTTGTCTTATTTTTTCTCCATCCAGAGTGAGATAATTTCTTACTGGGGTTACCCAAGTGAAAAGTATGAAGTTATCACTGCAGATGGCTACATCCTTCAGCTCAACCGGATTCCTCATGGGAAGAATGATGCTGATCATTTAGGTAGGATTGGAGTGAGGGGAAAAGGGAAATTCATCAAGTCCAAGTCAAATACATTCCAGTCATTCTAATCATAGAATGTGAGATTAAGTTACTGGTAAAAAATGAACCTTGAATTTCTGAGATTAAGTTGACAGTCTGTTAACAGTTAATTTACATTGATCTTTATGATGCGAAAATGAAGCACGTAAGTGTGTGCTAAGTCACCTCAGTCGTGTCCAAATCTTTGTGATCCTATGGGCTGCAGCCCCCCAGGCTCCTCTGTCCATGGGATTCTCCAGGGAAGAGTACTGGAGTGGGTGGCCCTGCCCTCCTCCAGGGGATCTTCCTGACCCAGGGAGTGAACCTGTGCCTCTATGTCTCCTGCATTGGCAGGTGTGTTCTTTACCACTAGCGCCGCCTGGTGAAGCACACACTGGCCAATAAATTTCGTTTGGTGTACAGGGTGGAAATTCAGAGTCCCTGAATAGAAGCCCCAGGACTTTCAACCACAGGTTTCTCGGGGATTCTTCACTTACTGAAGTGTGTATTAGCATTGCTCTTCCTGGTATAACAGCAGAGATCTGGTTCAGTCTTACTTTTTGCCTAAGTTCTCAGAAAGTGGGTGCTCAGTCACTTCAGTCATATCTGACTCTTTGCAACCCCATGGACTGTAGGTTATCCAGGCTCCTCTGTCCACAGAATTCTCCAGGCAAGAATACTGGAATGGGTTGCCATGCCCTCTCCAGGGTTATCTTCCTGACCCAGGGATTGACCCCACATGTCCTGTGTCTCCTGCCTCTCTCGCAGGCAGATTATTTACTGTTGAGCAACCAGGGAATCTCAAGTGCTCAGAATAAGCAAATGCTATTCTAAGTTCAGGAGGGTAACTTATTTCTTTAATAATCTGCACATGAATTTTTAAGACCAAAAACATTCCTGTTTCTGGGTATTTCTTTCAACTTTTCATGAAGTGTAAATTCTTCACATAGAAAGAATGTTAACTTGTAAATCCTAGAAATTAAAAACTTTTACTAATGAAATTTAACTTAAGGAGGTCTGGCAAAAGGAGGACATAGGACCCCATAGATGTGGCTATTCCTTTGCACTGAGAATTAGAGAAAGCATTTATATTATTAATATAAAATAACTTCAATAAATTGTTAGCTCATTTCTTTGCCGTACAAACCGAACAATCCTAAAAATAGCTGGTGCGTTGAAAGCCTGTGTTGTACTTTCCAATAGACTTTCTTGTTTAAAAACATTTTCTTTGCTTCTTTTCAGTCCAAAACCCAGTTATGTACTTACAACATGGTCTGTTTATAACTGGCAGTGTCTGGATTTCCAATCTTCCCAACCGTAGCCCAGGCTTCCTTCTGGCAGATGCTGGGTATGATGTGTGGATGGGGAACAGCAGGGGAAGTAGGTGGTCCCAGAAACACTTATACCTGAAAACAGAGTCCAAAGAATTCTGGGCTTTCAGGTAAGGAAGGAAAAAAATCTGTATTGTTCTATTTTGACTTTAACATGTGCTTTTTAAATTATTATATTTAAATAAATTTCTAAAACTGAAATGAAGGTATTTCATTTAAAATATGTAACTTGAAAATATTTTTAAGGATTTATATAGGAAACTGCTCTAGATTTTTTTATATTGTTATTAATGAGCTAAGAATTAAGATGAAAATATGTCAAAGAGACATTATTTCCCCTTCTTCCCTCAAATTGAAAGAAAGTGAAAGTGTTAGTCACTCAGTAGTGTCTGACGCTTTGTAACTCCATGGACTGTAGCCCACCAGGTTCCTCTGTCCATGGAATTCTGTAGGCAAGAATACTGGAGTGGCTAGCCATTCCCTTCTCCAGAGGATCTTCCCAAGCCAGGGATCAAACCCGGGTTCCTGCATTGCAGGCAGATTCTTTGCCATCTGATCCACCAGGGAAGCCCACCAAATATTAATCATGTTACCAACCTACCCACTACATTTTACTTTGTATGCAACTACTGCTATTTTTAGGGGGAAAAAAAGTGGAGGAGGGAGGAGAAGACAAGAGTGAAACATGTACATGGTTACTTACTTTTCACAATGGAAAAGTAGAATAATGTAAAGCATCTGCTGTCACCAATTGCCAAAAAAAAAAAAAAAAATTTATTTCCTACTTTCACTTCTATACTCCTAGCAGCAGTTTTTGTCTGCTATTTTGAAATAGTATATTGTTCGTATTTCTCTTATGGGAAAACCATAAAATGCAATGTCTTATATCTTAAGATCTAGAGCAAGAGCACTCTGAAATTTAGTCCATCACTTATTGGCTATGCTCACAGGCACATTTTCTGTTTCTTCAGCTCTAGAACGTGTGTAGTCATATACTTACCGCAAAGAAATTTTGTGAACTAAGAATGAAGTGGTGATTGGAAGCAGGTAGCATATTGCTTGCTTGTTTGTTTAGTCACTAAGTCATGTTGGATTCTTTGCAACCCCACGGACTGTAGCCCACCAGGCTCTCTGTCTGTGGGATCTCCTAGGCAAGAATACTGGAGTGGGTTACAATTTCTTTCTCCAGGGGGTCTTCCGGACCCAAGGATTGAACTACCGTCTCCTGCACTGGCAGGCAGATTCTTTTCCACTGAGCCACCTGGGAAGCTCTAGGTAACATATTGTTGTTGCTCAGTCACTAAGTTGTGTCTGACTCTCTTTGACACCATGAACTGCAGCAGACCAGACTTCCCTGCCCTCCACTAAAACGTGATCCATTGGAGGAGGGAATGGCAGACGACTACAGTATTCTTGCCTGGAAAATCCCATGGACAGAGGAGCCTGGCAGGCTACCGTCCATGGGGCCACAAAGGGTTGGACATGACTGAGTGACTAACACACACATTCTTGCCACGATAACCCCATGAACTGTATAAAAAACTCACATATTAGCAGGTAACAAATGTGAAAGTGAAAGTGTTAATCACTCAATCGTGTCCAACTCTTTGCGACCCCATGGGCTCCTCTGTCCATGCGCTGCAGTCAGATTCTTTATCATCTGAGCCACCATGGAAGGCCTGGTAACAAACAAGTGTATGGAATTAGTGCTAGGTCTTATGACCCTTCTTAAGTCCATTAAACAGAGGATAAGTTTCTTATGTACTAATAGCACAGAGAATTCTGCTCAATATACTATCGTAGCTAAATAGGAAAAGAATTTGAAAAAGAATAGATACATATATATGTATAACTGAATCATTTTGCTATATACCTGAAGCTAATATAGTATTGTTAATAAACTACACTACAATATAAAATTAAAATTTTTATTAGAAAACATAATTTTTTTAACTTTTACAAAATTAAAACAGGTTCCATACATTTTTGTTTTATAAAGTTATGATGAAATGATAAAATATGATCTTCCAGCCACCATTGATTTTTTTGTGAAGAAAATAGGACAAAAACAAGTGTACTATGTAGGGTATTCCCTGGGAACAACTGTAGGTATGTTAACAAATATGAAAACTGATTATGGTATAATTTTTGTTTTAAAGACAACAAAGAAAACATTTTTTAAAACAGAAATAATTTTAGAAACCATATATATTAGCTATAATTATTTAGGACATACAGACAATCCAAAAAGGAACACATTTAAATGCCAATGATACTTGTTTTATTATGGAATATACTTGTAGAGTCTTTCTAGAATAAACCAAATGGATATCATCATCTATTAACATGATCTTTCTAGTCATACCACATGTATTAAAGAAGATGTATATGCAGAGAGTTACCTGAGACTCTCTGTAGCTAGAATTTCTAAGACTGAGGACTTTGCATGTATGTTTTTTAAAAAATTGTCCTTATAGTGTTTTTTTAATAGACAGTTGATGTGTTGATACACTTCAGGAGAAGTCTGGAGTTTGGTTGGCATGACTTCTTTGAGCAGTGGCATTCTGCTGCCCAGTGAGCTTTTTTGGCGCTTTGCCTGGATCCCTCTAGGGTAGTATGAGGCATATTAATTTTCATACTGAAAATCCTATAAAGACTAAATGCTTCCAAACTTTTCAACTGATATGTAAAAATTAATTAATTCATCATTTCAATGTTCAGTGTACCTACTATTTGAAACGTACTTTGTTGCCTGGCATTTGCAGTGTATATTGGACGCTAAAGAAGTCTCAAGCTTGCGATCTATGAAGGCAGTTTGTCTTCCTCATGACTACTGGTATTTCGCTTAGGGGGTGTGGAGGTTGAGCAGTCCTGTGCATAATGCGTTGTTTGGTAGTATCTCCAATCTCTAGCCACCAGATTCTAGTAGTATCCACTTTGCATACGAGTTGCAACAACAAAAAATGTGTCCAGATTTTGCCAAATGTCCCTTGGGGGTTGCAAATCACCACTATTGGAGAACTGCTACAAAAGGGATGATATTTCCAGCAGGCTTATGGTCAGTCAGATGAACAGGAAGGAGGATAGCAGAGAGGAGAGAGTTAAATAGCCAATTAAGCATGAAAGGCTACCTTCCTAGGGTTCATGACACTTTAGAGACACCTCAAAAAGTTTCATTTCTTTTAAAAATTAGAAGAATAAAGAAATATAATTCATTTCAGATTATATTCATCTTTATATCAGTCACAAAATATAGTTTTACATAGATTTGTGTGTGCAGGTGTGTGTGTGTGTGTGTGTGTGTGTGTGTGTGTGTGTGTGTGTGTGTAGGAAGGGACATGCAAAGGCAAAGGCATCTGGGGCATTGACAGGCATCATGTGACCATAGAAGGAAACATTTCCTCTGAACACAGTTATTTCAGTCCTTCCAATGAATATTCAGGACTGAAGTCCTTTAGAATTGACTGGTTTGATCTCCTTGCAGTCCAAGGGACTCTCAGGAGTCTTCTCCAGTATCACTGTTTGAAAGCATCAATTCTTCAGCAACTCAGCTTTCTTTATGGTTCAACTCTCACATCTGTATGTGACCACTGGAAAACCAATAGCTTTGACTATATGGACCTTTGTCAGCAAAGTGATATCTGCTTTTTAATATGCTGTCTAGGTTTGTCAGAGCTTTCTTTCCAAGGAGCAAATGTCTTTTAATTTCATGGCTACGGTTATGGTTCACAGAGATTTTGGAGCACAAGGGAAAAAAAATTGTCACTGCTTCTACTTTTCCCCCATCTATTTGCCATGAAGTGATGGGACCGAATGCCCTAATCTTAGTTTTTTGAATGTTGAGTTTTCAGGCAGCTTTTTGACTCTTCTCCCTCACCCTCATCAAGAGGCTCTTTGGTTCCTCTTCCTTTTCTGCCCTTTGAGTGTCTGTATTTCTGGGTTTGTTGATATTTCTGGGTTAGTTGATTCCAGCTATGATTCATCCAGCCCAGCATGTCACATGTGTACTCTGCATAGAAGTTAAATAAGTGGGATGACAATACACAGCTCTGATGTATTCCTTTCCCAATTTTGAAACTGTCCTTTGTTCCATGTCCAGTTCTAACTGCTGCTTCTTGACCTACATTTCTCAGGAAGCAGGTAAGGTGGTCTAGTACTCCCATCTCTTTAAGAATTTTCCACAGTTCATTGCGATCCACACAGCTAAAGGCTTTAATGTAGTCGAAGCAGAAGAAGATGTTTTCCTGGAACTCCTTTGCTTTCTCATGATCCAATGAATATTCCCAGCCCATGTTACAAATATTTCCAAAAAAATCTAATTATTTGTGTTGCTTTAAATCCCCATATTTGTAGTAATTTTCATTTGCTTTACATATAACCCAGATGTACTCTAGATGAAACCCTTTTCTGTGGAATTGATTTCACTCATACTTTAGCTTTACCTCTTTCATAGAAAATGCATACAAAATACCTTCTCTCAACAGCCACGGGTTGTATCTTTGTTCTGTAGGTTTTTCTTTCTAACATCTATTTTGTACGATGCTCCTTTAAAGTTTATGTTTGCCATATTTGTAACTTCAAAAAAATTTCAAATTAATTAGTGTGGGTATGATTTACCTACAACTTAATGCACACATTCTAAATATATTTTCCAAGAAGTCTAATAAGTGTGTAATTCTATATAAACACAAAATATGGCTGTATCATATTTTCATCATCCTGGATAATTTCCATTTGTCCCTTTGAGGTTTGCCATTCTCTCACTCCTTAAAGTAACCTCAAATATAGTAATTTTGCTTTCTGACACTAAGGATTTATTTAACATTTTTAGAAATTCAGGTAAATGGAATCATACATTAAGTATGATTTTGTGCTTTACTTTTTGATGAACTTTTTTTCATTTTTATCCACAAATTTTATATCTTCCTCTCTTTCAATCTCTATGTCTGAGATAGAATTAAATTACCATCTAAAAATAAATTTCTATCTAATATCCTTTGTTTTTAATGCATTAATTTAGCTAAGTATACTTCTATTATCCTCTTTTTGAAAGATTTTGGAAAAAATATGTTTTTCTATCATTAAATTTTTTAATTTTTTCAGTGTCTACTTGATATTTTATTATCACATCTTTTAGAATATTATTACTTTTTTTAGCTTATTTTTTCTCTTGTGCTACTGTATCTCTTGAAATTTATTTTCTCTTTTTAAAAATTCAGTTTGTAAATCCCATTTTGCTATTTTCTTCTTACAATGGACATATCTTAATATGAACAAAATTTACCTGCTTACCTTTGTATGCCTTTTAAGTGCAGATATTTCCTTTTTATGTCACACATACCAAAAAAATCTTAAATTTTTATTTTCATTGTCTCTATGAAGGTAAATTCTATTGTCTTTTTCTGAAGTGAAATCAGGTCCATTACTTGCCAAAGTGTTTATTCTAGTTTAATCAACAGAAACATTTCTAACATATTATATTTTATTAGGCAACTCTTTTTATGTAATTTGTAGACTAACACAGTGAATTAACTCATTCGCCCATTCAGAAATACATTGCAATTTTGTATCTTTTATTTCTCCTGTCTTTCTTGATTTATATTGGACACAAAAAAATTTTATAACAAAAGTAATCTTTGAAATATGTCATTTTCATATCTGTTTGGTGAAAAAGAAATTTTGCCCAATACATATATTAATAAAATCATTGGTCAAAAAGTGTGCAACTGTAAGGTGCTTGGTACAATTTGTAATAATTTACTTACACTGGTATATGGATATGATCCCCAAAATCTAAATGAGGTAGGTGTCATTCATGATTTAAAGTAAAAAATTTTTTGATGGTATCTTTGTGGTGATGTATCATTACCTTAATAGGCAAAATTTAAGACCCAGGGACAATTGCCTTACCCAATATATCTATATCCTAACCTGTTTAATACAGGTAAATTATTATAATCCAGGATGTATTTTGCAAATAATTTTTAAAGTTCAGTATTTCTGAGATGAAGTAATCAATGACTAGGTAGTAAATTCAAATATAAGCCTTGACATCATATGTGAATATATATCTGAATATCATTTGTGAAGGAATTTTAATTTATTTTCCTCTGTTTCATTTTAATAAATTTATTGTAATTTGTCTGGGCACTGGTTATTCAGTCTCATACTCTTTCTATGGAAAAATTTAATCAAATATTGTCATATAAGACAAAGAGACAGGTTCCTCTGGTGTTGGATAAAATTATATGCTTTCTTCTAAACTTACTGAGGAGGAATCTGAGTCACAGAAGTAACACAATTTTACTATTTTGAAAGATTCTTGGAAAGAAGCTAGTTATTGACATACGCATATGTTGTTTTTCTTTCTTCTAGAGTCACCTTGATGTCTACTTGACACAGAATCCAGCAGGAATTTCATTTCAAAATCTGTTTCACATTATTCAACTATAACTTTTGAAATTTTATCACTCAGTATTTGTGGTTCTTCTAATATCTATTAAAAATGATAAGGATTGAAAACCATGATTCTGTGACGTGGTGGAGTAAGAAAAAATATTTTGGCGATTGGAATAAGTTACTGTAGTGATAGTGAAAGTCGCTCAGTTGTATCCAACTCTAGAGTCCTATGGACTGTAGTCTGCCAGTCTCCTCTGTCCACAGGATCCTCTAAGCGAGAATACGGCAGTGGGTAGCTATCTCCTTCTCCAGAATTACTGTAGAACTTAAATTTCAATCAAATAACTTTTATTTAGGGTTTAGGAAATAAGATTCCATAAATAGGAAAGAGGACATCAGTTAAATTTAAAGATAAATGAATTTTAAAGAACTATGTCCACCATCGTATTCTAAATTTAATTTCACATCCTGTATTTTACTGAGAAACCAAATTTTTATCCCATAAAGAAAGGAAGTAGTTTGAGTTTTTAGCAAAATAGTCTCATTAAAAATAATAATTATGTATATAACCTATTTTTAACCAGATAACAATAATAAATAGCAAGTTCCTTGAACTTTTCTTCCTTCCCTTGTTCTGTCTCCTTCCCTGTATGCCTCCTTTTCTTTTCTCTTGTCTGAAATCCCTCTTACTTGATAAGTTTTAATGATTC